CGGCATCTGGGCGGCTGCGGCGGCCGCATCCCCATCGTCGTCGGTCTACCGCAACACCACGGACCAGTGCGTCGCGTACATGTCGAGCGTGGACGGCCAGATCATGCCCATGCCGGACAACATCGTGCCCAAGCACTACAAGGACATCGCCAACATCCGCGACCCCAAGCTGCGCGACGCGTGGTACAAGGCGTATGACACCGAGTTCCTCGGCCTCATCCAGAACGGCACGCTCAAGCCCATGCGCCGCCCCGCCAAGGTGCGCGTCCTCCCGCTGAAGGAGATCGCCTCCCGGAAGTCCGACGGCCGGTGCAAGTGGCGCGGCTGTGTCATGGGCAACCTGATGCGGCCCGGCGTCGACTTCACCAAGACCTTCGCGAGCGTCGTCCGCTACGGCACGACCCGCACCGTGCTCAACGTGGCCGCGCAGGAGGACATGGAACTCATCACGTGCGACCAGCCCATGGCGTACACCTGGGCGGAGCGCGGGGAGGGCGAGACCTGGTACTGCGAGATGCCGAAGGGGCTCAAGGGCAAGCCCGAGTACTGCTACATCGACCCCATCACCGGCGAGGAGAAGGACATGGTGTGCGAGGTCGGCAACCTCTACGGCGCACCATCCGCAGGTAACGCTTGGTGGAACCACGTCAAGTCCATCAACAAGGCGTTTCCTGGGCTCGTTCAGTCCGAGGCGGACCCGAGCTGCTTCGTCCTCACCCGCAACAGCACGAAACTCATCGTCGTCATCTACGTGGACGACTTCGGCATCTTCCACTCCGGGACCACCGCTGGCAGGGCGCTCGCGCACGAGTACATCGAGCACTTCAACAAGCACGTCGGCAAGCCGCTCAAGGTCCACGAGGGAAAGGTGCACGAGTTCCTCGGGCTCAACATCACCAAGACGCAGACCGGTTTCAAGCTGTCTGCCAGCAAGTACATCGACACGCTGCGCGCGCGCTTCTTCCCGTCAGGCGTCACGCACGCGGGCTACAAGGTGCCCGCGGACAAGGACCTCCCGTCCATCGTCATCAGCGCAGCCGAGAAGAAGACCGCGCCCGACCCGCAGCTCCTCCAGCGCTGCCAGTGCCTCATCGGCAGCCTCATGTTCGCCACCAACGCGCGCCCCGACATCCAGTACACCGTCTCGCAGCTGGCGCGCTGCATGGCTTGGCCCGACGCGAACATCGAGGCCGCCGCCGAGCGCTGCCTCATCTACCTCATCGGCACGCAGGACCTCGGCCTCCACTACGAGCGCGTCGCCGACCCCAAGCTCTTCGGCTGCTCCGACGCGAACTGGTGCACCCGCCAGAGCACCTCCGGCTGCGCCTTCAAGATCGGCACCGCGATCATCTCGTACTTCTCCAAGAAGCAGGGTCACATCTCCCTCTCGACATTCGAGGCCGAGATCTCTGCCGGCACGCTGGCGGCTTGCGAGGCGGTCCACCTGCGCTCGCTCCTCGCGTCGCTCGGCTACAAGCCCAAGGGCCCGACCATCATCAAGATCGACAACACGGCCGCGCTGCGCGTCGCCGAGGACCCGGTCATGCACGACAAGACGAAGCACATCCTGCGCAAGGAGCTCAAGATTCGCGAGCTCGTCGAGTCCGGGGAGGTCAAGGTCGAGTACGTCGAGAGCCTCAAGAACTTCGCCGACTTCTTCACCAAGCCGCTCCCGCGCAAGGAGTTCGAGTCGTTCCGCAAGGAGATCATGAACGACACCGCCTAGGACGGCACAGAGGGGAAACGCCGACTTCCCCTTCATCAAATGTAGTCGACAACCGGCAGTATGGGCGCTCCTGGAGCTCCCCGAGTCACTTGTATGTTCGTCCTCCACCCTTTAGGAGGCTGCGCAATTGTGCGCGCGATAGTAGGAGATGTAGGAGTCGTCTAGCTTCTTCAGATCCTCAGCCTCGCTACCCGATGCGAGGATGGGGGGCTGTTGAAGACCGACGACCGCGCAGCCGTCTAGTCTACGGCCACACACACACACATAGTGTCCTTACCACCCCTGGACTGCATCTGCGCAGTTTCGTACCGCTGCGGCGCGGTTTTGCAAAAACCGTCTGCAGCGGCGCGGTTTTGCCCTTCACCCGCAGCCTGGATTGATAGTCATTGTGGGTGTGGGGGCCGCGGGCCAGGACTTTTGTTTGAACAAAGTTTTGACAGTACATTTCTGTCGGGCCTTGGAACAGCTTGTGAGTGGTCACTGAAGACCTTCACACCAAGCGTTACCTGCGGATGGTGCGCCGTAGAGGTTGCCGACCTCGCACACCATGTCCTTCTCCTCGCCGGTGATGGGGTCGATGTAGCAGTACTCGGGCTTGCCCTTGAGCCCCTTCGGCATCTCGCAGTACCAGGTCTCGCCCTCCCCGCGCTCCGCCCAGGTGTACGCCATGGGCTGGTCGCACGTGATGAGTTCCATGTCCTCCTGCGCGGCCACGTTGAGCACGGTGCGGGTCGTGCCGTAGCGGACGACGCTCGCGAACGTCTTGGTGAAGTCGACGCCGGGCCGCATCAGGTTGCCCATGACACAGCCGCGCCACTTGCACCGGCCGTCGGACTTCCGGGAGGCGATCTCCTTCAGCGGGAGGACGCGCACCTTGGCGGGGCGGCGCATGGGCTTGAGCGTGCCGTTCTGGATGAGGCCGAGGAACTCGGTGTCATACGCCTTGTACCACGCGTCGCGCAGCTTGGGGTCGCGGATGTTGGCGATGTCCTTGTAGTGCTTGGGCACGATGTTGTCCGGCATGGGCATGATCTGGCCGTCCACGCTCGACATGTACGCGACGCACTGGTCCGTGGTGTTGCGGTAGACCGACGACGATGGGGATGCGGCCGCCGCAGCCGCCCAGATGCCGAAGGGCGTGGCATTGGCGGCGAGGCGGGCGTTGAGCATGTTGTTGTACTCGCCCGTCGAGACGCCGCCGCGGCTGCGGGTGGTGCGCGGCGCAGGCGCACCCGCTGCGGGCGGGTTGACGTTGCCGTCGTTGGCCGGGTCTGGCATGATCACCACCTCCTCGTCGAGGGTCAGCCCCCCGGCGTGGTTGTCGGTGGTGGGGAGGAAGACGGAGTCGCCGCGGGTCACGTTGTTGTCGAGCGTAGCCTTGTCCGACTCGTCGGGCGTCTCGTCCGCGGTCACAGGCTCCGGCCACGCGCCCTCGATGTCCGTCGGGGTGAGGTCGGAGGTAGGAGCACGGTACTCGATGCCGTTCCAGAGCTCGTTGACGCAGAATGTCGCCTGCGTGGTGGTGCCGATGTGCCCCTTGCGCGGACCCTCGGTGATGACGTACTTCCAGCCGGGCGAAGTGCGCGAGATGCCGAGGAAGGCCGCCATCTCGCCCGTGGGTGAGACACCGTTCGCCACAAGGTGGGAGGGCGACTTGACGATCATCTTGCACGCCCACGGGTAGAACATGTTCATCTTGGGGCGCTGCCCGGTCTTGAGCTCGTACGCTGACTTGCCGGTGTCGCGCACGGCGAAGGTGGCGTTGGCGATGGTGGCCGCGTACACCCAGGCGTAGCCCCAGTACTGGTAGAGCTGGGCGGCGCCATGCCCCCCTGCGCGTGCCATCATCTCCCGCACGATCCTGCCGCAGGTAGCGTTCGCACGCTCGCACGCCCCATTCTGCCACGGCTCGTAGGGGCAGCTGTTGCGGAGCGAGGGAGGGCGAGACGATCGAGGGGTCCCGTACCATGCGGAATCGACCCTATCCAGTGCTCAAGTGCTCAAGTGCTCGAGGGTTGGACCTGCGCAAAGGCATTCCCTTTTCCCTGAATAAGGGGCGGGAGTACTAGTAGGTATAACCAAACGAACTTCCAGCCCGAACCGGCGCTCCCATGGCATGTCGCCCGTCGGCTTGCGATTGACCGCGATCCTGGGCGCATGTGCGACGGCACAAGAGACGCAGGTGCACGATGAGCGCACGGATGCGGGCATGGCGCAATTGCGGGCAGAGGATGGCTCCCGTGTGCAACACATTCACGACTTCTTTAGCCAAACCCGGGCAAACCACACGCGCGATCGTGGCAGGGAACTTTGCGACGCGGCTTGCGAAGCGGACGCGCGATGTTATGCGGCGCGCTATCCCGATCTCAAAGCCGCTTTTTGCCCGCAGCAAGGCGCATGTTTGCACGCAAAGCTTCGCGCACACTACCAGGAGCATGGCACGACGGAGCCCCGCGTCTACGGCTGCCTCAGACCGTGCGACGGCCCGTCGCGCAGCACTATTCGCCGCTCGCTTTCCTGCCACGTGAGCAAGCGCGGCGTGCCCGATGAGGTCGAGCTGCGCAGAGCCTTTTGCACGGACACGGAGTGCAATCTTGCGGCCCTCAAGACGCACTTGCAAAGCCATGGACAGCTCGTCACAACGTGCAGCAGCAAAGAACAGCAGCGGCAGCAGTGGCCGCTCCACTATCTGCGTGGAGAGGAACTGGCGCGGCCGGAAGCTGGTGCTCCATCGGATCGGCGGTCAGTGCTCTCTGTAATCGTGCTGATCTTCCGCAATACCTTCCTGCGCATCATGCTAGACTCCCTTGCGCGCCAGCAGACGAGCTTCGCCTACGAGGTGATCATCGCAGACAACGGTTGCGACAATGGCACTGCGACTGTGATCCGTGGCTTGAAGGCCAGGCTGGGGAGAAAAAGCATGCTCGTATCCTACCTGCCTATCTGCGCCAACATTGGGTACGCCGCCGGCAATAATGCCGCCGCCAAGGCCGCCGCCAACTCGTCTTCGCACCTTCTCTTCCTAAACGACGATATTGAACTGATGCCGCGCTTCATCCAGAGCCTCTATGATCTCATACTCAGGGGCAACTCCGTGCACTGACGGTCGGCCGTCAGAAAACACGCCTCCGTGGCTCGGGTTACACCAATCCTCGCTACCCAACGCGGCCAAAGGATATCCACCTCGAGAACCTCGAGACAAGGCTGTGAACAGCAAACACCTTGGGTACTTAGGCCGAAAACGGTATTGCGCTTTTCTTCATTCTGTGTTCTTTGCAACCATGACGACAGGGCTCACCGCAGGGCTCACCTCGCTCGACCTGTTCAACGAGCTACAGTCCCGCAAGAACTGGCCGCACGGCGGCCCTCCGCTCGTCCTGGATCTGCGTTCCGTCGAGAGCTTCTCCGAGCGCCGCATCCGCGGCTCGCACCACGCCGTCGTTGGCGAGGATGGCGTGCTCACCACGCCCGAGCGCGCGGCGTGGGCGGGGCGTACGGTGGTGCTGGTCGCGGATGACACGGAGCAGGCCTCCGCCGCGGCGGCCTCCCTCCGCGGCGCCGGCGCCAAGCGGCCCCTCTTTCTCGCAGAGCCGTTTGCCGCGTTTGCGGCGGCTCGCCCGTTCCTGACCGCGGCGGGCAGCTCGTCCAAGGCGGGCAAGCGGCCGCCCGCGTACCCGTCGTGCATTTTGCCCGGCCTCCTCTACCTGGGCGACATCGAGGACGCCGTCGCGCTCCCGCGGCTCAAGGAGCATCTCGGCGTCACCCACGCGATCACCGCGCTGGCAGACCCTCCCGCGTCGCTCAAGGCAGCCGTGCGGGAGGCGGGAGTGAGGCACCTCTGGTGCGCGGTGCGCGACGTCGCCGCGGCCGACATCAAGGAGCACTTTGACAAGGCGCGCGCCCCCTCCTCCCACCGCCCTCGCCGGGCCCTCCTCTGCCCGCTTCTGGCCGCTGCTCCGTCTCGCCCCCACCCGTCTCTCCTTGAGCCTCATCCCCCGCTCAGGCTCGCGACTTCATCGCCGACGCGGAGGCGCGCGGAGGCGCCGTCTTCGTCCACTGCTCTCGCGGCGTCTCCCGCTCCGCTTCGCTCGTCCTCGCCTTCCTGATGCGCGAGCGCAAGACGCCTCTCTCCGAGGCCGCCGCCCAGCGCCGCCGCCGCCCTTCCCCTCGCCCTTCGCCCTCGACGCCGCTCGCCCTCGCCTCCCGCCCGCGACGCGCGCCGCCGACCCGCGCGCAGGCGCTCGCCCTCGCCACCGGTCGCCGCCCGATCGTCAACCCGAACGAGGGCTTCCTCCGCTGCCTCGCCGAGTTCGAGCGCGAGCTGACGGGCGAGCGCTCTGGCGTGTACATCCCACAGCAGGCGGGCGGGGTCGCGGCGGCGGGGGAGGAGGGGCGCCCGTCTCGGAGCCCTCTGCGCGCCGTCCTGTAGGCGCCGGCGGGCGGCGGCGGCGCGCCGGATTTGCCTCCAGATTGGGCTGCGGTCGGGCCGCCGGTCGCATCACGCGCGACTCTCTCTGTGCGCAAAGGCGGCGGCGGCGGGGCGGGCGGCGGGCTGCGTGTGTGCGGCGTCGCCGCCTCACCCGCCCAGCTGTCGAGTCAGGCGGCGAGGAGCTCGACAGCTTGCCCATCGGCGAGCACGCTGTCTACACGTTTGGCCGCTCGCTCACGTGCGAACCCGTCGCAGAGAGGGGACGAGGAGAGCAGCGCCGCGACTTGTGACCGGTCGGCGGCGCCGCCCCGCTGCAGGTGCGACGTGCAGCTCGAGCACGCGTCGGCGTCGCGCGTGCACGCCGCGCTCGTCCACGCGCAGGAGACGGCGGGGCTTGCAGCCCCGCCGGCGGGGCTTGCAGCCCCGCCGGTGTGAAGACCGCCCCGATGACGATTTGGTGCGCGTGAGCAGGACGGCGGCCTCTACCTGCTCGACATGAACTCGTCCCACGGCTCGTTTGTCGACGGCGCGAAGCTCAAACCGTGCGAGCGGTGCGGCCCGCTGCGCGACGGCTCCGAGATCAGCCTCGGCGCTTCCTCGCGCCGCTACGTCGTGCGAGGCGTCGCCGCCGCCGCCGCCGCCGCTGCCGCCGCCGCCGCGTCGGGCTCCGCCGCCGCCGCCCGCCCACCCGGCGTCGACTCGAAGGTGGCGCAGCTGATGGCGATCGCAGGCCCGGCCGGCGGCGGCGGCAAGAGGCGGTCGCTGGACGGGGAGGCGGCCGAGGCGGCGGAGGAGCTCGAGCGCAACCGCGAGAAAAAGCTGAAGAAGAAGCGGAAGCGGTGGGTGGACGGGCCAAAGCAGAAGAGCAAGATGTCGGAGAACGAGCGCGTCGCGCAGATGGCGGGCTC